TCACGCCTCGGCGCGTCTGGCTCGGGAGCCCGAAAGTGCATGCTCCAACTTTTCGGGCCCGCGCCACGGCCCGGAGCGAGGACCCAGCGCCCCTGCCCCGGGCACGGAGTCTGGAGAACCCCGTGGGCGCTCTTCTGCCCCCTTTCTTTGGAGGTCTCGGCTGCGGAACCCCATGTTGCCCCGAGGCCTGGCATCTTCTCCTCGTCCCCCCTCCTCCATCCCAGCCTGGCTGTGTCTTGAGAGGCGACCCAACTCTCAGAACAAAGTGACATCGCCCCCATTCCCAGGCTTGGCGGCCCCCTCCGCCTGAGTGGCTTGAGAGCAGCAGGTGTTTATGGGTGATGCTTGGAGGCTGCTTAGAGGCTTTGTGTCTCTGGTGGCTGAGGATTTGCCAGGGTGAGTGTTAGGGCCCATCAGAACATCATGAGAAACTGAGGCTTACGACTGCTTCGGTGGTTAGCACTTCACAGTTTGCAATGCGTTTTTGCAGACATCAGCTTGCCCTGACTGGGAGGTGGGCGTTCCTAGCTTCACCGCGACCACAGGCACTTGTGGCTCAGAGAGGTTTCAGGACTTGTTGGCGATCACACAGCTCCCCAGTGGCAGAGCCAACACCAGCGCCTCCTGCTTCCGTTTCCAAACCCAGCGTCGTTGTTTGTGTAACTGGGAGGTGGAGGAGTCTGGCACCCTCTTACCTTAGACAGAGTCCCTAGAGCGCCCGTCCTGCCTTTCCTTACAGCATGCCCACAGGCGCGGTGGTGGAGGCATTCGCTGCACCTGACTTTGTCTTCAGCGTTGGGCACGCAGGATCCCGTGTGCGCCCCTGGGTTGTGCGGGGGTAGCCGGACGTCTGGGCCCTGCTTAGAGTGTGCCAAGCATTTTCACGTGTCAGCCCCTGGTGGGCCAGCTTGGCCCCTCTGGAAATTTCCTTTGCAATCAGAGTCGGGTGTCCTTAAGGCTTTTAATCCAGGGGATGTTTTTCAAGCTGTGAGCTTGCAGCTGCTGTGGCCGAGGCAGAGGCCGGAGGAGGGGCTGGAACGGCAGATGTGAAACTTGCAGAAAAGCTGACCCCTTGGGGCTTTAAGTGGGACATTTGGTCAGAAGAAGCACCCAGGGACAGGGACATTTAGGAAGGCAGCGTGATTGGACCGCGTTTCCCCGAGGTCGGCTTGCTACCGTTATTATGTAATAATAATAGGCACTTCCCTTTGGGGAATTCACCTGAGGATTATTTTTATTCCTGGGTGGGGGGTGAAGGGTGGTGTGGTTGTTGGCTTTCATGCAGACAGATGGACTCGGCGCCCTACTCTTTTGGTTGTGTCTAGCTCTGTCACTTGAAAGCAGCCACGGGGTCGCTCTGTGCTCCTGGGGACTAGTGCACAGGAGAGGTGGGTGCGAGCCCCCTCCTCAAGAGGTTTGCAGACTGGGGCTCTGCTGGGGTGGAGAGCCTTGCACCGCGGCTGCCAGGCACTTCCCCGGGCGTGAGCTTGTTTTGCTGCGAGTTCTGTTTTGAGCCCTGGCATCCTGTCTGCACACAGTCCCCCGAGCCACAGTCGCGGATGCGCAAGGGTGGCGTGTGCAGGGCATGGCTTGCTGACTTTCCATCTGGTTTCCTGCAGCCCTGACTACCTGAGATCGCCCGAGATGACCGAGGTGATGATGAACGCCCCGTCCATGGAGGAGATGGGCCTCAGCCCCCGGAAGGATGGCCTTTCCTACCAGGTGAGTGAGGTCGGCTTCCTCCGGCTCCACGGAGCCCGCGGGCTTCCGGTGGAGTTGGAGACAGACTTGGCTGTGCATCCCGGTGCCACTTGGAAGAGCTGTGTGACCTCGGGAGAGTCTCCGCCGACCAGCAAGCCTCGGTTTCTTCCTCTGTAGAATGGCGGCATAGTGGTGCTTGCCTCATAGGATTGTGGTGGAGAGTCAGCATGATGAGACTGACGTGTGCGGGCAAGGGCTCCCTGGTGCTTGGAACATGTGCTTCGTTTGTTAGCCATCCTGCCCGGTGACCTCACCCCTTCAAGGTGGCAGAGGAGGAAACGATCTCTGCATCACTTCAGATCAGAACTTCCCTTGCAGCTGTCCCTGGTCAGCTTAGCACTGCTGTGAGGGCCGGCTCCTGGGGAGGGTAGCCTGGTAGGGACTGTGGCTCCACACCGCCGTCCTCCTCGGGTTGACCACTGAAGAGGCGATGCCCCGAGAGGTTGCTGTCTCAGGCCTGCTGTTGCTGGAGTCCAGCTTGGGGGCCGTCCTGTCTGGTGGATCCTCAGTGTCTAGGGACCCCACGGAGGGCCCCGTGTGACCAGGACTCACCTGCCCTCTCCCTGCCTGGCGGTCTTTCCACTGTGCCCCGTGGGTAGTGGACCGTGGGCCTCCTCTGGTCATTTCTGGGACCATAAGCTGGCTCTGGGCTTTCCAGGAGAGTTTCTAGATTGTGGCGTGGGAGGGAGGAAGCTGTTTCTAAGGGAGACCTCGGGTAGGGACGGGTGTCTGGTGGTTGGCCCAGGGGGCTCAAATGGGGCGTGGCGGGTCCCTGTAGCAGTAAGTATGTGCCCACTGCAGGCCCAGTTCGCTACAGACGTGACCCTGCTCCCGGGTGGAGCCTCATCCGCCAAACAGCCAGGACCCCGGGCTCAGCCCAAGTCGGGATGTGGGTCTCTCGGACCCCAAAGCCTGATGCATCATGCCTGTGCACCACAGGTGGGTCCTGGTCACAGTCTAGACTTAGACTGGTTGGCCATTGCTCAGAACTATCCCAGGGCACTGGTGTTGTAAAAAAGGGAGAAACAGAGCGCCGGGCAGGTGCGGTAGGGGAGTGAACAAAAGCAGAATGGGAGCTCAGGCAGGTTATGCCTCCGAGGAGACTCTTGGCCTTGTGTCCTGGAGGCAGTTCCTCCTGCTGCCTGGAAGGAGTCTTCAGCCTGAAGGGGTTGTGGGATCAAGGGGAACTCAAGGGTTTATGCCCTCCTTCCCCAAAGGGTGGGTCCGAGGAAGAAGGTTGTGGGCTCCACCCAGGGGAGGGTGGGAGTTTCCAGGCTGCCAGCAGGGTGTTTTGAAGAAGAGTTTCCAAGCCGCTGAGTCAGACTGAGTCTCTCCGTGACCACAGGTGAGGCTTGCTTTCAGTTCTGGGGCTCAGGTTTCCATCACAGAACCTTCTCCCACTCGGTCCCCTGCCCATCTCCTGGACGTTTTTTAGCTTCACCTTGTAGAGACACCCAGGACAGAGGGCCAAGCCCCACAGGGCCGTTTCCTCATGGCTCTGAGGCCTTCAGGCTGTTTTGCTGAGAGGCCAGGGCAGGCAGCCTGGGAGGGAGGGGCTGGCCCAAGGAGGGCAGTGCGTCGCCTCTGAGCCCCCGAGATATCTCGGCACTGCCTGGGAAAGGGTTCCTCGGGTCTCCCTGTGCAGCCCCTCGGGAAACCCGTCCCTGCTCCCCAGGTGGAGACCCCCACCCTGTTCCAGAGAACCTCACCTGGGACTTCAGAGAGATGTCCTGGTTGTCTGGCAGAAGGTCGAGGAGGGGCTGTGGCATTTCACCAGGCACATGCACTGTGCCGCTCCCACGTGCAGCCCACTTCATGGGCCTCTGTCCATGGGGGTTAGGCCTGAGTGGGAACCAGCGTCTGGAAGGCAGGTGGGAGCCCTTCCGGGTGTGGTGGCAGAGACCGACTCTGGGACGGTCAGTCTGGGCCTGAGCTTTGAGGAAAGCAGGACTCAGGAGGGTGGCTCTCTTTCCAGGCACCCCTGGATTCCCCCTGTTTGTGCCGGTCATGGGCCCTGGGCCTGCCCTGACGGTTATGGGGCGATGGAGTTCTCTGGCTGCACTAGGCTTGTGCCGCCCAGTAAGATACAGTCCCACCACAGACCTGGGGACGGGCTGGGACTGGCCCTCAGCAGAAGCCGTGCAGGGCTGGGGGGACCCCATAGCACAGGCTTTTAGCAGGAACTGTTCTTCTAAGGAATCGAGAAAGGGAAGGAGGCATCAGTCCAGCCTTAGTGGATGAAGTAGAACTTCGGGCTTGTGATTTGACCTTGGAACAAAATCATCAAATAGATGGCACATCGGACTCTGTCAGTCACTCCCCCGCCTCTCAGAGTTATCGAGAATGATGCTTTCCTGGTTCCTCTGAAGCAGATGTGACCTTTCCTCCAGCGCCTGTGTTGTTTTGTGCTTACCAGCAGTGCTGCGCCGGGCATCTCTGGCAGGAAAAGAGACGGGCCCTGTTTCTCCCTCTCCCTGCCAGGTCCTCCCTCAGGGCAGGGGACTTACGATCTCAGCACCCATCCCCACCAGAGGTGCCTACACTTGGTGCTGAGTGCCAGGGCCATTTCCTGAGAGTTGGCCTGCTGACCTGAAGCCGCTGTGCACCCCACCATGGCATCTGATGGGCTGCTTCGGCCCAGGCCTCTTGCCACATCAGATGGATGCCGCTTAAATCCTCTGAGAGCTTGAGACGAGCCCTGCCTGCTGTCCTGGGGCAGTCAGTGCTATTTCGTGGCCGAGCCGGCACCTTGTTCCATGGCCTCGTTCATATGGAGATTCATCTTGGTACGGGAGAGCCTCGTCTGCGTGTGGCGTGATGCCCCATGGGGCGGGCAGGGACCCGGTTCCTAGAAAGTCCAGGCACATTCTGGGCGGGCTGGGGCAGCAGCCAACTCGCCAGCCGACGGGGAGGATGTCCGTGAGGACACCCAAGTCCCTGACAGCAGCGGCTCTGTCCCCACGCCGCATCTGTGAGCCCCGTGCCTCCAGCTTCTGGGACAGGAACACCTGCTGCCCAGCACCCCACATTCCCCTGGTTCAGGGGAACAAGTCAGCCAGTCACCATCTAAGCACGTGGTGTCCGGGATTGCCTCCATGACCTGGACTCCCTCTACCCTGTGCCCCCGCTGGCCCGGGCTCTACCTGGGGAAGGGTCCTGGGAGTTTGCCTGTGGGCAGGGGCACCGCCACCCCCGAGGGCATGGGACTCGGGCCTTGCTGCCTGACAGTTGTCCCTCCACTGAGTTCCCTGCAGTGTCATCGCCTTGTGGAGGTCTCGATGTGTCTTCTTGGTTTTCACTTAAAACTGTCCCTTTCAAAGCATCTGGACCAAGACCCGATCACTCGATCCCTCCACGGGCCCTTTGAATTCCTCTCTCACAGCCCTTCCTGGCTGCCCGTGGATTCCACCTGCTGTTGTTCTTGGGCCTGTCTCCTGTTCTTTGACATCCGTCCATCAGTCCCTGGTCCCCTCTGTGGGAAAGCAAGGGAGGGTGAGGGGGTGCTGTGAACCGGAGGGACCGTTTCTCCATGGGTACTCTGAGCCTTCCTGGAGCTTCAGAACCGAGAGCTTCCTCGTGGAGGGAGTGGGGTCCTGGCATCTAGTGGGATCCTGGGAGGAAGGACAGTGGCGCTGACCTCTGTGACGTGCCCCTTGCAGTTCAAGACCCAGGCTGTGGCTTGTTGTGGAGAGGCCTGAAGACCCCAGGTCTGAAAACCAGCCTCTCCTGGGACAGGATCTCTTGGTCTCTGCCTCCCAGGCCTAGCAGCCACCCGCTCCCTCTGTCCTCTCCCTCCTCGTCCCGAGAAAGTGAGACTGACACGTGTGTGAGGTGTCCCTGGTGCTGGTCCCTCTCTCTGGAAGCTGGATCTGTGTCATCGCCAAAGTAAGGGGGCTGCTGGAACCCCACCCTTTTCCCCCAGGCGGTGCTGTCAGACGGTGAAGGCCTCTCAAGCCCAGGTTCATCCTGGGTGGCATGTGCATGTTGAAACGGGATGGGCCGAGCCCTCGGGAAGGTTCCCGCGTGGTGTCCCACCTCTGTCCCCAGCTGGCTGTCCCCGCCTGTTCTGGGCCTACGTTCCACTGCCTTTGTCTCCTCCTCCTCACTCTCATCGGCGCCCCAGTTATCGTGCCCATGGCCTCAAGAGTTGGGCTGCCCTGGTAAGCAGGTCCCATGGCCACCAGGAAACCGTACTCCCAGCATTCGACTTAGAGGCCTCAGTTGTTCCTGGAGAGACAGAGCTGAGATTCTAACCCCTGGCAGGCACGTCCAGCCACAGACGCATGCCCCAAAGTTGCAGGAAGTGTTCCTCTCCCACCCCTCTCCTGGGTGAACATGATAACGGGATATAAAGCTGGGAGGCAGGGCCACCTGTCTCAGATGTATGGAACCTTCCTCCACGCAGTGTTGGCCTGTGTCCGAACAGAGCCACCTTCAGAGCAAGTCCACTCCATGGGAGGCCTAGCACCTGCCCCCCTGTGCTCAGAGCCTCATGCACACGACACGCTCACGGTTCTGGAAGGCTCCAGGCTAAGGCCTACAGGGGCATGAGCTGAATTCATGGGTCTTCCCCTCGCCCAGATGCCGGGGTCACAGTGGGGAGTATGTGGTACAGCCAGGCAAGGGACAGGTGTCATCGCTGCCCCAACCAGGTGTTGCACACTAGGCCGCACAGCCCACTGCCTCTCTCCAGGTAGCCGGGTATCATTTCTCCACAGGTCTGGGGCAGGGTCTCAGACTGCTTCTTGCTCCCACTGAACAAGACTCCTACTTGTTCCCAACTGCGAGCTTCCTGCGTGGAGGGAGTGAGTCCTGGCACCTAGTGGAGTCCTGGGAGGAGGGACAGTGGCACTGACCTCTGTGACGTGCCCCTTGTAGTTCAGGACTATGTGCATGGGCACGTCCTACAGATACCCGCCTCGTGAGTGCTGAGTGAGGGGCCAGCCCGTCCTTCCTCTCCC